ATAATCTGGGCTTTATGTAATCCGTTGAAAGGCCTTTAGAGCAAAACTAAGGTTTCCCTGAGGGGGAAAAAAAAAAAAATTCCATCTGTGGACTGCAGCATCAGCCCCTACCTGAGAGTTTCCAGTTTGCTGCTGACCTGCCTTACGGATTTCAGACTTGCCAGTTAGCCTTAGAATCCCTTAAGCCAATTCCTTGAAATAAATCATTTTTCTCTTTGTCTCTGTCTCTCTCCATATATACATATGTATGTATACATATACATACATATATGTAAATGTATGTGTATATATACATATATATATACAAAATCTCTTTGTCTTTCTGTACATATGCATGTGTGTGTGTATATATATATAATATACATATATGTGTACTATAAATATACTGTATATACCATATATATATATATATATATATATATATAATCTACTAGTTCTGTTTCTCTTGAGAACTCTGAGTGACACAGGGATCCACCGTGTCCTTTTTGTCTTATAATATTGTCTGATATGGATCAGTCTCGTATCTTGTGGTATGGATATTTAAGGCCCCCATCTGGGTTACTAGGAGGCAGACAAAGCACGTGCTTTAATCAATAACACAGGGGCGCAAAAACATGAGAAAAGTTCAGCTTCTATTCAACTAACTTGTCCAGAATTTTGCAATCAGAAAATCATGCATGCAGTTCTGTGTTTTACACTTTGCTGGGATCTTTAGATTTTTGATCTGTATACGGGTGGGAGGGACTGTATCTTTTCATGTTAGGACCTATAAAGGTTTCATCCAGCTCTGTGTGTCCTCAAGTAAAATGTAAGCCCTATGAGGTCAGAGGCCAAGTCTTGTTTTTGTGTGTGTGTGACCCTACAGTATCTATACGGTGCTTAATAGACACATACACAGGACATGCTGCATCAATGTAGTTTCATTTTATTTTATTCTCCAGAGTATGTTACCTTTGGGAAACAGAAAACTGGCTCAGGTAAATGTAGGTTTGCTTGTTTTTAGGCAAATCAGTGTACCATCTCCAGGGAGAAGTTCTCCTCAGTTGGAGATTTATATCTGAAAAGCATTTGAGAGACTAGCCCTTCTCTTGTTTCTCTGGCCATTGACAGGGAGCAGGTTACTGATATGCATCAGGCTTTGCAAGCATTTAAAGAAAGATTATTTTTCACAGCAGCACATGGGCTGTTCTAACATAGGGACAAGCATTGCTGGGAGTGGGAGGAATTACAAGGAGCTTTTGCTGAGACACAGTCTAGGCTCTTTCTTGAACACAACCTGGAAAAGTAGTGTGATACGTAAACAGCAGGTGTCCAATAAATCCGTGATCATAGGTGGACTGATTATTAACCCCTGGATTATTAACACCCTTGGTGGAGAAATTAGGGAAAGGTCAAAGTCCAGAGCAGAGCTTTCTTCGAGGCCTCCTGGAGAGCACTTCTATTTATCCCCTTTCACAGAAGTTGTTTGGAAACGACATGACAGTTATCCCAGGCAGGTGTTTGTGTGTATGGAATCTGAGGATACTGAGTGATCAGCGGTCCTCCAAGCAAGTGAGCACGACTTTGCAGAGGGACAGATGTTCACCATCAGCTCAAGGTGGATGAGGTCAGCACCAGGTAGGGGCTGCCTATTGCTATGAACACCTGACCTGAGCCTTCCTCATGGTCTGAACCTTCCTTTGGCTATTGAACACAACACGTAATGTTGATGTGACCCAATATTTAATATTGGGTAAACAGCAGACGTCCAATAAATCAGTGTTCATAGGCCAGCTGAGACGTGATCCCTGGATTATTAACACCCTTGAAAGAGAAACTAAGGAGAGATCCATGTCCTTATACACATAACTTCAGCTTCACGTGAGAAGTTGTCAACTCAAAAAGACAAAGCATATTTATGGAGATCATAAGGGAGGGACTTCAAGTTGAGTCTAACCTATGATATGAAACTTCCATTAACCTGAGTGTGCACCCTGGGGTCTCCCATCCCTGGCCAAGGACGAAAAATAGTGTGCACCCTGAAATTGTGAAAATAGAGGCTAGATCTCGAGGCCCAAGAAGAATGTGGGGGCAGGTTTCCAGAATAAGCAGTTCCAGAGGATCAATAAGAAAATATCTCTGTGGAGGCGCCTGGATGGCTCAATCTGCTGGGCGTCCGACTTTAGCTCAGGTCATGATATCGCAGTTCACAAGTTCGAGCCCTGTGTTGGGCTCCGTGCTGACAGCTCAGAGCCTGGAGCCTGCTTCGGATTCTGTGTCTCCCTCTCTCTCTCTCTCTCTGCCCCTCTCTTGCTTGCACTCTGTCTCTGTCTCTGTCTCTGTCTCTCTCTCTCTCTCTCAGAAATAAACGTTAAAAAAATTTTTTTTAATTAAAAAAAAAAAAAGAAAGAAAACATCTCTGTGTAACAGTGCCCCCAAAGCAGTGAAAAGACAAAGAAAGAAACATGAAGGTCGAAGAGCCTCCACCTCATAGGTCTCTGGAAGCTCCTTCTGCCGCACAAATTCTGTCACTTTCCTACTTGTCTCTGCTTCCTGCCTTCCCCCTTTCAATGGATTCCCCTCCACACTGGCAAGAGTGAATCTCTTAATGCCCTCTCCCCACTTAGCGCCTTTGAAGTAAAAGCCCACATCCATCACAGGATACTCAGAACCTTCCAGAACTAGCCCCAACCTCTTCCTAGCCACATTCCCTCTGTGCCTCCCTTCACATTCTCTTTGGTCACAATGGTTTCACATTCTTTTAATGACTCCTTATTCTTTCAGCTTCTAGGCCTGAAATGCCCTCAGCAAAGTTATCAGAAGCTCACCAACCCTTCTAGGCCCAGTTCAAATGGGGTTTCCACCTCCTTGGGCTGAGTCCATCTGTCTTTCCTCGGTGCTTTCCTAATATTTCTCCTTTCTGTGTGCTATTGTACTCTAATTGTACAGTACATTCATACTTCAATTCTCACCAGCGTGTGAGCTTCTCAAAGCCAAGGGCAGTGTTTTATTCTTTTTGAAAACTCTTTGCCTCATTTGGTCCTTGTCACTTAATAGATCCTCAATAAATAGAGTTGGACAAATGAACCAAATAATCAGTCCAGCAGCTTAGATCTCCAAGCCCGACCTTCTGACCTTCAGCTCACACTCAGGTATTTTTCTCAAGCATTTTCCATTTGACTGTTGCTCTGAAAATCCATGCTCATTGCTGTGTCTGACTTGCACCGCTCCCTCATATTTCCATATATTCTGTATATTCATGGTGCCTCAATGCGTAATTTGTACTCATATTGCAGGAAATGATACAGTCTTCTCAAAGACTATATTGCATCCAGCATTAAGCAGTGAATACTACTTAAGTCAATGATTTGTGATATTTTTCTGTCATTCAATTCTGTGCTCTGAAAAAAAGAGAGAATGGCAGGCAGGATCAAAATCTTGTCCAGAATCTGGTCCAGGAATATCCACTATTAGAGGGATGGGGACTTGGATACCCTCACTGCCTTCCTGCACTTATTCTGTGTTTGAGAGTTGCCCTCAAATACACACGGACCCCTCTTTGATTCCTTGTTCAGGGAAAGGCTGATTAGTGACCTCCCAGAAGTCAGGTGCAGCCCTTGGGCCAAGACAGAGGCAAGAAATATGCTGTGACACCCCCCTCCCGGCCTCCAAAGACCTTGCTTAGTAGGGGTGGGGTGTGGGTGCTCTGCTCTTCAGAGGAGAATCATGTTTGTAACCAAGGCATAATTCAGCTTGAATCAACACCCAGAATGAGCAATAACAAACGAGAGCTTTTTGTCATTGCTGTAGCTCCATGAACAAGATTATCTAAGCAATTAGAAGATAATTATTGTCTACATTCAGAAGGACAGAAGTGTCAGAATGAGACCAGCAGAAGCAGTGACATGGTGGATAATTTATTAGTTGTTGAGTGGCTGTTTTTCTCTCTCCAGGCCTTTGTGAGAGAAACATCCAAATGCCACAAGTACATCCCCGGGGAGCCGCAGGGTGGCAGGAGCCCAGGGTGTGGGAACATAACTGCCTTTTATCTGCTCTGATTTGGGCTTTATCAAATCTTTTGGCTCCCAAGGCATTCTGCGGCAGCAATGTTCATGATGTCCTGGGACTGGGCCCATTCTGCCAGCTGCAGAGCACACGAGAGCCCGAGGGTCTGCAGAGGCTTCTAGCTCTTCCTCCTCCTGGGCCTCAGAGTTTGTGCTGGCTGCACTTCGGATAAGCTCTGACCAGGCTCCTTTCTAAGTTCTTCTGAGGCTCCAGCCTTGTCTCCTTTCATTCCAGATTGATTTCTTCTGGGCTCTGTGCCTGTGGGAGACTGTAAGGCTAATGATAAACAAATACAGGGGTAACGATGGGTTTTGCCCCCTTAGGAGAGAGTGGTGGGGCGTAAAGACTTTTGTAGGACTCTAGACATTTACCTGTCCATCTGTCTGTTCATCTATCCATCTTCACCTAAATCTATACATCCATATATGCATCTATACACACATACATTCGTTCAGTAAAGCTTTGTTGTGCTCATTCTGCTCAGAGACCAGGGAGATTTTGCACTGAGGTTGCTCATAGCAGAGAGGAACACAGACAAGAAACGACATAAGCATCAGAGATCATTCTCTCCCATCAGCTTGGAGGCTCTAAGGAGACACGGAGATACCCACACACTCCGCAAAGGCCAAGCAATAGTTTATACATAAAGTTTCAGCTTCCCAGGAAGATTTAAATAGGTGAAACCTACTGTTGCCAGTGTTTGGTCATATAAAGGACACTCTGAGCCCTGTGGTGACCATCCAGAGCTCTCTATCTTGTCTGCGTTTTCTCACACCAAGGCCCCTACTTTCCCTATATCCCCACGTTCCTACACACACCCAGACACACACACACACACACACACACACACACACACACACACCCTTTCCATTTGCACCAGCCATACCCAGGCATTGCAGCTCTCTGACACAATGAGTTGTTTCATACCTTTGTTGTCCTTCTGTTCTGTCTTCCAGGGCCTGGTGAGACCAACACAGCTCCTGGACAGGGTCCACCACCTCCATCACTGTGCCTTGTCCCTGTCTTCCTTGCACTAGTGTGTGTGTGTAATCACAGGTCACCTACTGACTGTGTGCATGGAAAGCTCACTTATCTTTGCATCTGTGGGACCCAGAACAAAAGCCATGAAGTATTTTGAAACGTAAGTAATGTTAAATATTCAAGTATCTTTATTGTTCATTATATTTCTCTCCTATTCATTTGTTCACTAATACAATGTCAGATGCTTATTGAACACCTACTGTGTGTCAGGCTATATGCTCAATCCAATTTTCATGGTCTCTTCCCTTAAAACTGTCCTACACCAGCATCTTAAAGGGTTGTGCTAATAGTGTGTGTTCAGGTTTTGGGGCGAGTAGGAGAAAAAAATTACCAGCTTATATTTACACAAGTGATTTATGCTTTTTACAAAGCATTTTAGAATCCTTTGATCAAGATCATGCATGGTCAGGTAAGGAGGGTTTTGCTTATTCCAGCTCGGTGACACTGGGAGGCAACATGGTTCTAAAATCTGAGCTATGTGTCCTCTCTGGAGCGAGTATATGTGCTCACCAGCTCCGGATGCCACTTTGAAACAGGGGTGGGTAACAGATGGCATTTGTGCCACTCAAAGCATTGCAGGTGGCACTCAGCCACTTTGCCACATTACTATCACTTTGCACTCTTTTTCTCCCTTTCCCTTCTTTCCCTCTCCTATTTGCTGTCTTTCCTTTCCCTTCCCCTTTCTCTCTTCCAGATGATACTATTATCCCATTCATAGGTGCCCTTAGGTTTTGCTCAGCATCTGACACTTGATTTACTTTCATTCCTAAACTGGATTACACTGAAACTGCAGAATGTGAGATGAGGGGAGGGAAGAGACAAAACTGGTCCAGCTTCTGTGTCCCTCAGGATGACTCTATTCCCTGCCCGACACCCTGAGGTGAAGGAGCTGCACCAGCTGCTCAGCCTGGGCCATAAACCAAGAAGGACCCAGGAAAGGGATAGTATGGCATTGTCCGGTTTAAGCTGAAGAACTTCAAAGATACACTCAGCTCTGTGCAGACGAGGGTCTGGAAACGGAGCCTAGGCTTTCTCCTTAGGGCTTCACATTGTTGCAAAGCCAGGGAACAGGAGCAGAAAGGCAGTGCTTGCCCGGCGCCTGGGTGGCTCAGTCAGTTAAGTGTCTGACTCTTGGTTTCTGCTCAGGTCATGATCTTGCAATTTGATGAGTTCCAGCCCCGCATCCGGCTATGCACTGACAGTGCAGAACCTGCTTGGTATTCTCTCTCTCTCTCTCTGCCCCTCCCCTACTTGCGCTGTCTCTCTCAAAATAAATAAATAAATAAATAAATAAACTTAAAATTTTTTTTTAAATAAAGAAAGGCAATGGTTGCTTTCACCCAACACACACAGAAAACCCCTTTCTCCCAGCAGTGGTTTCTCCAAACCCTGCCCAGGAATAGTGAATCTTGACTGACCCTGATTTATTGGAGCAGAAGAGGAAAAGAAACAGCAGGCCCTAAATGTCAAGGTGAGGAGTGTAGCCTGGCAGAACGAGAGCCAAGAGTGTTCTGTGGGGTGGAGCACGTGACTAGGATCCTCAGGCCCAGAGGGACCAGGAGCCAGTTCAAGTGGGAGGTGTCGGGAATGCAAAGTCGGCTGTAGACTCAGCACATTAAAAATGTCAAGAACAAGGCAGAGAATAATGCGAGGGGAAGAGCGCCTTCTGTTTTGTGGGAGGCAGGTTACGAAATGTTAGAAGCGCACGTTTGCTTTCACGTGTCTGCTTGGTTGCAAGTCCAATGTGCTGTCTGCTGAGACCCAGGAGAACTGATGGGGAAGTGGCATCCAGGAACCTGCTCCCATTCCAGGGAGTTCTGGCTCTGCCTTCCTGTGCTCCAGAGATTCTCCTGCTGCTGCGTAAAGAGGAGTTTACAGAGCAAGTTGATCCAGACATGCTCAACGAAAAGTGAGCATTTATGGTGCTACTCACCAGGCCTGAAAACTAGTAAGGAGTAGCTGACCCTGCACCTGCCCAGAAGTCCATGTGGCCAGCAAAACAAGATAGAATAGGGAAACTCCAGGCTTACTTCAACTTGGCATCAATATTAAAGGCATTGAGGGGTGGGGAGCCTGGGTGGCTCAGTTAGTTGAGTGTCTGACTCCTGGTTTCTGCTAAGGCCATGATCCTGCAGTTGGTGGAATCCAGCCCCACACTGAGCTCTGCACTGACAGTGCAGAGCCTGCTTGGGATCTTGCGCTCTCTCTCTGCCTCTTTCTCTTTCTCTCTCTCTCTCTCTCTCTCTCTCTCTCTCTCAAAATAAATGGATAAACTTAAAAAAAAAATAAGGACAGTGAGGTCAGTTCTCTATATTTCTTACCCCTGCAATCCTGATGCAGGGGCCCTCCTGGATATGTAGGAGAAGAGATTCTTCCAACCTAAAAAACTCTCTAATTTATGACTACCATAGCACAGTCTTCATGTCCAGTGGCTGAAAAGGAGCAACACCCAACCAGGAAATGCACCCTTGCCACTCTCAGCAGGAACCTGGCTGTGTTGACAGCCCCCACATTTGAGGTGCCCCTGGGAGGAAGGAGCTGGGCCACTGTCTTAGGGCCAACCAACAGAACTTAGTTTCCCCATTGGCAAAACTGGAGTAACAACACCTGCCCCATTCACCTCCAAGAGTTGTAGGCGGACTCAAAGAAGCCCACTCATGTATCTGGAAGCACCTTGAACTGGAAGGGATGCTCATTGCTCAGCCTTGGCCTGTTACAGTGGTTTTGGGCCCTGAGGCAGCGGTCTAACTAACTGATCTCTCAAAGGGATCTTTCCCTCATCCCTGAGTGCAGTATTCTGCTCTGGGAGGGCTGGATGTCCTTTGGTCTAGAGCACACTAGGCCATTGTTTGCCATAGGTCCAGGCAGACCAAGTCCAAGGCCAGGACACATTCAGGGAACTTCTCAGAACATCCTCTGGGGATGGACCGAGCAGGTCTGCTTGCTGCCTGGGTGGTGCCCAGCCCCTCCTATCTCTTCTTTTACCTCTGTGTCAAACAGCACATTCCTGAATCACTATACAAAGTGGCGGTTGGAGCGATGTAACTTCCCCCAAACATGGCTCGGGACCAGTGACAACACCAGCCACCGTGCTTAGCATGTGTTATTAAAGCCCCTGCGATGTCAACAGAGAAGCACATGTCAGTTGGGCCCAATCTGTCCAGCTAAGTCAGGGAATGCTTGCCAGTCCCTCAGGATGGGCTGCCCTAAGGGTGAACTCGATGCCCGAGGGGTGGAAAAACTAACCATTCTGGAAGAGGACTGAAGGTTTATCACACAAGCAAATAGTGGGGACAGTGCTCGGGTCTGTAACAATGGTAACAATATCCATTGTAGTATTCAGTGTGGGCTCAGCCAAGGTCCTTGGGGAGTAATAGTGTGGGGAGGTGCGCTGAGCCCTACACCCAGGCTTCGAAAGAAAAGCTCTTATCGTTACCCAGTTAAAAACAATGTAAGCAAAGCAACTCTGTGATGGAAACATGTTGACGGTGAGGGAGAGACTTGAGGGAGACGCTGAGCAGTTCCCAGAATACATTCCCCCGTAAATTCGAAGAATGCTAGTGGAGAGAAGCCACTGCTCGCTCTCCTTTAAGCCAAATAATATCTTCCTGCCGGAACAGAGTTGTTCTTGGCAATTGGAAGTAAATGTGAGGAAGGAATCAAAACATGATGCCTGAGAAAGGAATCCATAAGAAATCTGAAGGCAGGGACATGGTGAGATATAACAAAGAAAGATGAGCTGGTGGCGGGAACAAAGGTTAACTGTAGTGGCGGCGCATTGGCTCCTAGGATAGGGTTGGTGACGGCATGCACTTGGTAGTAAGGCTGGGGCAGGAAGCCTGCAGTGCATCTGAGGGCTCAGCGGAGGGTCCCTGTCCAGCCATGGTGACCTCAGGTCGGGTGTCCGGAAGCTGAGGCCCTAGCCCCCGCTGCCTCCTTGCGCCATTTCTGAACGACCCTCCAGGACCGCATCAGTGAGGCCTCACCTTGCGATGCAGGAGGTCAACACAGAAGGTAGTGAAGGCTGGCAGAGAGTTCCCTCCACCTTCAGTTACTGGAACTGCCTCTGGTGGACTTTGGCAAGTTTGACGAATGGCAGGAGAATCTGGAAGAATTTCTTGGCTGGCAAAGGGGAATGGATGGTTGGGCACAGACCTGCTGCTGTAGTTCTTTGTACTAAAACTGTAGATGGCGGGCGGAAAGGGCAGCTTCCTTTCACTTCTTGTCACAGCTCATCCCCTCCTGCCTATGTGCAAACTCCTCAGGTATTAGCATTTGGGTAAAGATGAAGTTCTCTGCGGTGGAAAGAACAAATTCATCCCAAACACTATACATTCCTGCTTAGAGGCATCACGGTGTTCGGGTGAATCACCAGGCAGAGACGACTACACTTGCCCAACCCCAGCATCCTTGACTCACAGAGCCACTCATGTAGACTAATACCCACTGTTTATGCGGGCACCTTTCTCCAAGTGGCTGGAAGTGATTTACAAGCTGCTGGCTCATCCTCAGCATGTCCCCTGCAGGGAGAGCAAAAGGTGGGGAAGGATGAAGGGTAGGCATAATCGTCTGCATTTTATGTGGGGAAACTGAGGCTCCAACAAGCCCTCGAGTGAAATGTGCAGACATGTGTGAGTCAGACACTGCCCGTGGAAGAGCAAAAATGAGTGATTCTGAATCCTACGTGGACTGTATTCTCATACAGCCTTAAAACAGGTGAGCCAAAATGCAGACTCACTGTATTTTATGTTTATAACCCATTTCCCAGCCCTCATACCATCTGTGACTTCTGCTCCACCTCAGTGTGACACTTGTGTTAACTTTAGAGGCCTCTTGACCATCCTTTCCTCCTGACCTACCCCCAGCTCTGACAGGTACCCCATTCCTGACATTTACTTCATTCTTGGTCATCACCTGATCCTCAGTATTTCTCCCATTGTGAATCTCTACCACCCTTTCCCCTTACCTGTTCCTAATCCATATACCTTAATTCCCCCAGGTGGGAATGGCAATAAGGTAAAGATTTGGGCTGGAGGGGAGTTCACAGATGGAGTATAAAATGTCCATGTTACTCACCATTTGTTTCTGAAAATCAGAACATTTATTGGCTGAAAATTTAGGCCAAATCTAAATATCTTCATGTCAAAATAGCTGTAATAAAGCAGCTCTATTAAAATAGCTGCATTCAGGGGCACCTGGGTGGCTTAGTTGGTTAAGCGTCCAACTCTTGGTTTCAGCTCAGGTCATGATCTCACAGTTTGTGAGTTCGAGCCCCGCGTCGGGCTGTGCGCTGTCGGTGTGGAGCCTGCTTGGGATTCTCTCTCTCTCCCTCTTTCTCTGCCCCTCCCCCGCTTGCTCTCTCTGTCTCTCTCTCTCAAAATAAACTTAAAAATTAAAAAAAAAAAAAAAAAAAAGCTGCATCCAAAGGACTGAAAATCTAGATGTCACCTGCTTCTGGCACCTGACTGTGGTCCTCTTTCTCTGTGGCCCCGTCTTCTGTTCTGCTGTATTTCAGTGTGTGGTTATTCAGAAGACGAGTTAGCACCAGGGCAGCTTTGCACTGTGTTGTTCCAAGCAAGGACTGTGTAGGTCTCCCAGATGAAACCCGTCTAGAAGCCGAACAGGAGGCTAATGGAATGGCCATGGGTGTCCAGCTCCCCATGAGGCAGCCAGGCTGGCATCAGTCCTGTCCCCAACCTCCTTCCTGCCCCCATCCACCCACGAGCTCTTGTTGGGTCAAAAATGCAGTTCTCTGGTGGTGCCAGACAGCCAGATGATGCTGGAAAAAAGAAAGAAAAAGCAAAAGCAGATTTCTAAATTAAGCACAAGTCTCATTTATAAAAATAAATAACCACAGCCTAGCAACATGCTGACAGCTCAGCTTCCCTTCGTGATGTAACCTCTGTGGCTGGAGCCGGGGATGACACAGCCTTCAGAGGGCCCCACACCCTGGCCCCTCCCCGTGCAGAGTACTCATCTGGAGAGTGCTGACAGTAGCACTTTGAGGACCCAGCTTCGCATTCAAGGCCAACCAAGGGCCAGGCTCCATAGGGAGCAGAGAAGAGCCAGAGCTTTCCAGAGCTTTCCAAGCTTAACGAGGCTCCTAAACACCTACAAACTCTTGGCAGTAACTAACACACCTGAAGCAAAAGCAGATGAAGTTGTTTGGGCCGTTCTGTTGAAACAGATGCCCCT